GAAAAAAAAAAAGGTCCCCAGCCAACCTTCATCTCATTATGTAAATAAAAAAATACCAAACTTATTAATTAACTACTAACTAAATCAAAGTAAAATAAATTAAACAATAAAAACATTGATCTTAATATCTATATCATTCTCCTGTCTCCATTCTCCAACCCGTACCCCGACACTCAATACTCATCAGCAAAAAGAAACCCTAATTTTTCAAAACTCATCTCCCAAGCTTGAAGGCTCCTTGCACGGCGGGTAATTGCACTCCGGTCGTGAATCTGTTCCGGTCGACGTCGGAGCTCATACACCCACGGCCCCACACACACTCGGTCGGCAAGCAATGAGTTCTCCACCCAAATCCCCTCGCAAGGGCTGCGCCTTAGGACCAGGTTCGTTTCACTTTCATTTTTTGCAATTTCTACAAGAAAGAGAACAATTAGATACTAATTTGAATAGTTAATAAGAATTATCTCGATTTGGGATTCTAGGGTTTCAGTTGGAAGAAATTTAGATTTTTTAAACCAAGTTCGAGATATAATTTTGAATACATGAACTTCAATCATGTATTGTTATGAATATATGTGTAAAAAAATTAAAATTTCAAACAAAATTTTTTGAGTACCTGCGCCCAGTTAAAAAAAATTCTAATTCCCATGTGGGATATGAGATCCTCACTTTTCATGTTCTGTTTTAAGGCCACAACAACTTCAAGGCATCATTAGTCACTCCATGTATTCTGTATAATTAGTAAGTAGATATGAATCTTGGGTATATGACTGAAAGAAAACAGTATAGTTTGTATGCTTTCTTAATCTAATTATCTTGCATTTTTTAGGTAAAAAACGCAAGATAGGCGGTTCGGGATGTTCGAGGACTTCAAGTTCAAGCCCACTACGACCGCCTCGTGCCTCATCGAATGATCGAGATCCACAACAAGAATTGGACAATGAAAATTCAGCGTTCGAGAAAGAACGCATGGAAACATCAAATCCATTTGAAGAGGAAGAGGAAGAGGAAGAGGAAGAAGGGGAATCGGATGAAATGGATGAGGGGGTCCCGAGAAAAAAGAGTAGAAGAAGGGCCAAGGCATGGCGTCACTTGAATTGATAATGGTAGATGGTAGGCAGAGGGCAAAATGCAAGCATTGTAGCAAAACTTACGCGGCCAATACAAAACTCAACGGTACGACTTCTCTTAATACTCATATGAGAAGTGCAAAAATCACCCCAACAGTAAAAATCAGACAATTGCTAAGTTTTGTCAAAACATAAGTGTGGGCACAAAAGAAGGGAGTTATATTTGGAAATTTGATTAAGAATCAATTAGGAAAGCCATTGCTCGCATGATAATTGTTGATGAATTGCTTTTTCGATTTATTGAGAATGATGGTTTTAGACAGCTTATGTGCATTTCATGTCGTTAGTTGATTGTGCCATCGAGAATGACTATAGCAAGAGATTGTTTGAACATGTTTGTTGATGAAAAAAATCATCTGAAGTCTTTAATTAAGTCGTTGGGGTTGAGAATGTCTTTGACAACTGATTTGTGGACTTCGAATCAAAATCTTAGTTACTTGTGATTGACGGGTCACTATATTGATGATGAATGGAAATTGCATAAGTTGATCCTCAATTTTGTTCCTTGTCCTAAACATAAAGGGGATGAAGTTGGTTATTTGATTGAGAAGTGTCTTCTTGATTGGGGAATCTATAAAGTGTTTGGTATTACCGTTGATAATGCTTCGGCGAATGATGTGACTTTAGCCTACTTGAAAAGAATATTCATAAATTGGGACACTTCTATCTTGGATGAAAAATACTTGCATATGCGTTGTGTTGCTCATGTTGTGAATCTTATAGTTAAAGAAGGATTGAAACATACTAATTCTTCCATTGATCGTGTTCGGGCGGTTGTTCGCTATGTGAGGTCGTCACCAATGAGATTGAAGTTGTTTAAAGAGTTAATCGTGGAGGAGAAAATTGAGAGTAAAAAATCATTGTGTCTTGATGTTGCAACTAGATGGAACTCTACTTATTTGATGTTTGACACGGCTTTGATTTTTAAAAATGTTTTTGATAGATATGAGATCCAAAATTCCGATTTTTGGAAGGATTTTATGCCGGGTAGAACTTATGAAAAAATTGGCTTGCCCATCAAGTATGATTGGACCGTCGTGGAAAAATTTGTCAAAGTGTTGCGTCATTTTTATGATCTCACCCTCCGAGTTTCGGGTTCACTCTTTGTGACTTCTAACATTTTCTTTGATGAAATATTTGATGTCCATGAGCATTTGATGGAATGGATGTGTTCTGATGATATTGATTTGGTTGCAATGGCAAGAAAAATGAAAGAGAAGTTTGACAAATATTGGGTTGATATAGAGAAATTTAATATAATTTTGTATGTTGGGTTTATGCTTGATCCCCGTCACAAGTTTGGCGTCCTACATTACTATTTGAAAAGTATGTATGGTCCGGCTCGTGGAGAAGAGATAGCGAATTTAGCTAAGAGTGCTCTTTATGAAATTTTTGATGAGTATAAAAATAATAGTGGCTTGGTGTCATCAACTTCTACTTCATCGCCTTCTTCGAATGTCGAAAATGTTTCGTCGAGTGTTATGGATAAAAAGATGCGTACCCAAGAGTTGATATCCGGGATTGGGCTTGAGGAATCGGAGCTAGATACATATCTAAATGAACGCTTGGAAAAGGCTTCGAAAGGTTTTGATGTATTGGAGTGGTGGAAATTTAATTATCATCGGTTTCCCATTTTATCCAAATTGTCTCGTGATGTGTTGGCAATACTCTTATCTACCGTAGCCTCGAAGTCTACATTTAGCACCGGTGGTCGAGTGATTGATGATTTTCGAGCTCCAATGACCCCTAAGATGGCTCAAGCATTAAGTTGCACTCAAGATTGGCTTTGTCGTAGTCCTTATGGTTCGAGTTCGAGATCTTCCTTAGAGGAAAATTTGGAATTTATTGAGAAGATTGAACGAAACAAATTTTTATCTTGTTATTTTGTGCAACTTAATTTATTTTTATATTCTAGTAATTGTCCAAGTTTTTTTATATTGAGAAGATTGGGTTGCTTGGGTTGCTTGGGCTGGGGGCTGGGGCTGGGGCTGGGAATTAGGCCATTAGGGTCTAGGTTTATTTCTTTACATCTTTTTTATCCCTATTTTGTTTATTTTACCCTCTTGTGACTGTTGTTATGGGGTTGGGGCTTTGGAGTTGGATATTCATATTATTTGTTATATTACTATCATTATTGAAACTTTCTTGTCTTTATTCTTATTTGTAGATTTGTTGGCGACAAAGGTTGTGGATGGTAATATTGTCGGAGTTTGATATTTGAATTTTAATAACTATAATAAGGTAAGATATAATACCTTGTGCGTTTTATTAATTATTTATTGCATTATCATTTGATATAGTGTACTTCATATATTGTACTATTTAATTCATTTATTTTTTTTTTTATTTTGTTTTATTTTTTGCAACAGGGCAATGCTAAAGCGAAAGGAATGAAAGTTGAAAGATGTCAAATTAGTCTACAATGTTTCTTTTATATATTTTGGTCTTTTGGTTGCTACTTGTAGACTTTGAGATGTTTGTAATGGTGTTTTATTGGACTCTTTTTTATTATTATTGTTATTTGTGAGTGGCCAAGACTTGTTATTTTTATCTATGAACCTAGTGTGATGTAAAAGACTTATAAACTTGTATTTTGGGACAAGCTCTCTCTCGTTTTTTTTTATTATTATGCATTTTAGTTTTTTTTATTGTTATTTTTGTCATTTCTCTTTTGTATTGGATAACCGATAACCGAACCCAAAAAACCGGTAAGTTTTCGGTTTGAAACCGAACCGAACCGTACTTTTCGGTTCGGTTTTCGGTTTTAATATTGGTCGGATTTTCGATCGGTTTGGTTCGGTTTTAACCGATTGTGCAGCCCTAGCCAAACCCATTTTGCGTTTACGTTTCCGTACCCGTTGGAGCAATTTTTGGCGTGGCGTTTGGTTTTGACGTTAGGTTGGAGTTGCTCTTAGGTCAAAATATTCAATTGTTTTTCCTTTGCCCTTGGTTTGCCCACAAGTAATTATGAACTTTTTATAAAATCAATAATTATATCAATAATTGAAAATAGTGATAGTCCATTTAAATGTTCATGAATATATGTCAAGTTCAAACATTTTTTTTGAACATAAATACTTTTAGTTTAAGTATAACAAATTTTACCATTTGTGTCGAACTGAGGATCTACCTGAACCGGCTACTTGAATTCTCATATCGTTCGAGTAACGATGATAACTTGCAAAACAAGGGCCAAGAGGAGTTCCCGGCGTGAGCATTCCGACACTCAAGTCAGTTATCAAAAATGGGGAGAATGTGGCAAATAATGTCTAGAATATTCAGAGATCGACGAGAGAAGAAGGTAATAGTGATAACTCGCATTTATATAGGGTTTGTACCATGGTGCCCAATTAACTATGTATCTTGGTGCCCAAGAATTATTGTTGACCAAAGATTGCCCGAGGGTACAAACTTGTTGCCTAAGGACTACTCGAAATTCATTCTTATCTAATTGTATTCACACTCTTGCGTTGACGTTGTTGCGTTCACACTACAAATATTCACATATCGTGCTCTTAATTACGACAAATATTCACGTGTTCCCCTTTAGAGTTTGATTGTATATCGTGACCTTATAAATAGGTCGCTCTGGGTATATAGGTCAGGCCCAACCTAGGCTAATGTGGAACTGTTCGAACTACATAACTCGCAGGCTCATGAGGTCGTGGTTTCGATTTAGGCGGGCTATATAAAGGGCAAATCTGTGTAATGGCTGACAATATCTTCCCAGAGCTTTATATGAGCTGGTCCACTGAAAATTCCCTAAATTCGGTGGAGCCTGATTGTACAACCTTATTCACATTTTTTTGAAATATAAATAAGGATGCCACACAAAGACGAAACTACATATGGGATAAGAGTTTCTAGCACCTGCATTATAAATAAATTCATTGACCAATAAAATCAAACCTTTCCGAAAAGAAAAGATGATAAGATTACAAAGAAAAAACTCTACACAAAAGTTGGAAAACAAAAGGAAATGAGGAAATTAAGAAAGAACATATGCGGAAACTTTAGGGTCTTCCATTGAATAATGAGTTAAAAGATTATAAATTTAATGAGTTTATTGCACCAAATCCCCCTGTATTAAATGAAATGTGCACGTTCTCCCCTTGTAATTTAAAAATTGCGTCAAACCCTCTTGTATGTAGTGTTGGCCAATTGATGCTCCCCATCTTAAGTTTGGGTGCTAACACCGTTAGATATTTGTCAAACTTTCCATTATGCCCCTGTCATTTGAGTTGAACACCAACACCGTCTCTTTATTTTTTCTCTCTCCTCAAAAGGTGAAAAACCCTAATTTTACGAAAAAAAAAAAAAATCAGAAATCAAAAATCAGATCTCAATTGAGACCGCCAACCATTATTTTGGCACTCCGACCTTGAGGCCGCCGCCGTCGCCTTTGTCCGTCATTGCCTTCTTTAGGAGGAGTTCCCCCTTGTAGGGGTATTCACGGTCCGGATTGGTCCGGTTTTAGCCCAAACCATGACCAAACCGGACCTAACGGTTAATTTTTTTTCTTGTCCATAACCGGACCGGTTTTATTTTTTAACCGACCATAATTCGGACCGCATTGGACGGTCCGGTTTGACGGTTAACCGGTTAAATCCACAATCCTTGTTTTGGGCCTTCAATTTTTATTTTTTTCATTTTGGGCTTAATTTTTTTTTTTTTAATTTTGGGCCCGACAGAGATTATTTGGGCCTAAAAATTTAGAAAAACAACAATAATAAAATAAAAATATACCCAATTCATCCCATAAGCATAAAAATACACATTTCGTCCCATAAACATAAAAATACAAAAATGATGAAGATTAAATTATGCAAACGGAACCCAAGCAAGCATTCATTTTTCAGCCAGTTTATACACCTGAAATAAGAGCAAAGCAAATATAGTGAATGCATTGTATTTGTCGGTCATAGTGAATGACGAATGTATATATATATTTGTTATAATTTTTAAATATTTACTGGTCTGGTCTGGTTAATCCAGCGGTTTGCCTCAGGTAATCCGTTAACCGGACCGGTTATTCCGGATTTTTAAAAAAATTAACCACTGGATTTCTTAAGACTTTTTTAACTGACCATTTAACCAATCTGCGGTCCGGATTGACGGTTTTTTTCGGTTAAAACCGGACCGTGAACACCCCTATCCCCTTGATCTGTACGGGCAGGGAGAGGCCACAGGCGCCTTTGCTGGTCTCCTTGTGTTGCTGCAGGTGGAGGATTTCGTCGCTTGCGGTTGGGGAAGCTCGAATCTCCTCCGCCGTTGGCAGTCTTGGTGGAGTTGATCCCGATCTGGTAGTCGTTGTTGCCGCCTTGTAGGGACGTGAGAGCTAGCGGGCTCGTAATTATTTCTTTTTTTTTATTTCGAGCACTTCTAGCCCTGGTCCCCTTTTTTCGACAGTGGAGATCTTGGATGAATGGCTGCCAAACTTCTAAATTCATAGGTGACCTCATATTGTCAAGAACACAATAGAATGTGATTTTTTTTTTCTTTTTAATTTTTTTTCCCAGTGAAACTGTGTTTCAGATTTCATAATTTTTGCTTGTAGGTTAAGACTCTTTGTACAAACTTTTATTGTCTACATCAGCTTGTGCAATTTTTTTTTTTTCACTTTACAGTTTTAAAATAGCAGGAAAAAACGTGCAGATCTCGTATAATACAAGGGGTACTGTATATTTTACCCTAAATTTAATTCATGAGTGGCATTTGATCGAAAAATTTGTAATACTCACTCTTAACATAAGATCTTGACATTTACCATATACATGACATTAAAAATTATTGTATACTCTAGAAGATTATGCGTGATTTTGCATGTGATAGTCATAACTAATCGACCCAGTATCAATTAATTAATAGAATTACAACACGACTGATTGGTGTAAAAGAGATAAAAATAAAAGTTCTCATTTTAAAATTTCGAAAACTTTTAAATTATAATATTATTTTGTTTAAAATGACGCATGACACTCTTAAGATTCCATTGTGTATAACAATAACAATAACACACGCCATAAATTATATTGAGAGATCATAGATAAATTTGTAATATTTTGTTAAGATTGGTATATAAGCCATATATGATTATCTTTTCATCTCATATATGTAAAACGATTATAAAAATAATAATTAATTTTATCTTTAAAATGAAAACTGATGACAAATTTTAAATACATTAATAATTTAAATTAGTCAAGTATTTTATAAATTTGAAAAATTTAATACATATGGATAAAAGTTCATACATCTCTATATATAAATACATATTTTTTTTCAAATTTATGTGTCAGCTTTTGATGTTTCTTAATCCTATGTGTCTAATCATATGTCTCTGTGTTCCGTAATTGTATGAATTTTTAAAAATTCGGACTAGTCCATGCCTAGAACCTGACAGGATTTTAAAATTGGTCATCTATATTGTCCATTTTCCACTCTAGTATCCATAATGGTTCTATAAACTGACATTTTTTCAATTTTGGTCATTTTTTGTCAAGGTTGGTTCTCTATATTGTCCTTTTTTATCTAGCTTGCGAATAAAAAGGGAACAAAATTGAGAAGAATGACAATTTATAGGACCAGGGTTGATGAAGGCCAATATCAAGGGAAAAAACTAAAAAAGTGGACAATATAGATGACCGATATTGAAATTATGTCCCTAGAAAGTTTAATATTATTAAGCACTCGACCAACCCAAATTTTGAATAATATTTTAAAATTTAATAACTTATGTATTTATTTTGAGGTTCTCATATATGATATATGATATTAACCATCTCTTGAAAAGTTTTAATTTTATATTCATATTGAATATGTAAATAAATATATATTTGTTCCAAAATAATAACAAAATTATTCATCACTCACATTCACTACATAATATGAAGTATTAAAAATATATTACATAATATGGTTATATTACAATATAGGAGGGATAAGTCGCATGAGTGATGAGTGCTATTTCGAATATAAATAATAATGTAAGTTTTAATATTTGTTTGAAACTTAAAATATTGTTTTCTTTTTTACGAAATAAATTTTTATTAGTTGCCACTAAAAAAATGTAATATTTCAATAGAAAACTCAATGGTAATATATTCTAATGAAAATTTTAATAGATATTAATTTAATGGTATAACTTCCATTTGAGTTGTATCATTTCTCATATTGTCTGGAAAATAATATAGAAGTGATGTATACTTTACTAGTATGACTATAGAACACATTGAACATGATTGTAAAGTACCATATGATAAATTAATACTTAAGACGTACTACTAGTATGATTATGAAATACACTAAACATGTACCGAAGTTAATACTTAGACATGAGAAATTTGTNTATATATATATATATATATATATATATATATA